TTGTCCACTCCTGAATGTAGTATCGTCGGTGCTATATATGCTTTTCAGAGAGAATGGTGTATAATGTGTGTGTATAGAGAGGGTTAACAGGTAACAGTTATAACATAGTAATAACTCTCATTGTATTAATAATGCTGCGACAGGACCCCATCGTTTAGTAAAGAGCCTTAATGAATATGTGATTCGCTCCATTTCATAGATGTCCCATACTTTATGGATCCATATATGGTGCGTAGGGGGATCCGGGTATAACCATCTGATAGTTATACCCTGCTATGCTGCTGTGAGTAGTAGGTTTAGAAGGGTATCTCTCCCAATAGTGCTACTGGGGGGTCTTGTTGGATGTCCTGTTCATCAAAGACTGCTCTCCAGTATGTATTTAACTTAGGGCATAGCCAGAATATGTGTGTGTGATTGGCTGCACGTGTTCCATGGTTCCGCCAACACAAGTTGGAATGTGTTGGGCCCATCTTGGCTACTATTTCTGGTGTTCTGAAGAATGTGGTGTTTGAGTTTGAAACTAGGTGTGCCTCTGTGCACATTTCCTCCCAGGTATTCAGTGGTATGATCTTGTTCATTTCCGCCTCCCATCTCTGCTTCATCTGTCGGGAATTATATAGATTCATAGATAGAAATATGTTATATAGTTTACTTATTATTTTCCTATCTTCGTTCACCATCTGTATTTCTAATAAAAACCTTTCTAGAGGCGTACGTTTCACAAACTTTCCCCACTCTTTGTGTGTGGTTAGAAAAGTTCTCAAGCCCAAAAGCTGTCTGTATTTTGTTCCACATTCTAAGAGTGATCTTAGTCCACTTTGCCAGTTCTTTTATGGGCGCATCTAAAAAAGGCAAAATTTGTAAGTGCTCTGGGCAGAAGTTTTTCTCAATATTAAGCCAGCGATTGTATGTGCTATTCTGAATCCACACTATCAAAGGTTTCAGTTGTGCAGCCCAGAAGTAATATTTTAAGTTTGGAAGTTAAAGGCCTCCACTCAGCTTAGATAGCTGTAAGGTTTTAAGTCTAATTCTAGGACGCTTTTTTTGCCAGATAAATTTGGAAAATTTGGAAATTTTGTCGCTCTTTAACAGGCAGCAAAATATATTGTTCGCCGCTGAGAGCGCTACTTCTTCTTCTTCTTCTAGTTTCATGGAGATTGGCATCCATCTTAATGGTGCACTACCGCCACCTTGTGCTCCGGAGTGTGGAGCAGACAATAGACTATGAGCGCTACGGTCGGAGATAGTTGTCTTAACTGTATTGAGAGGGAACCCTAGTCATGGTTACAACAATTAACAACCCACAACTAACGCTCTTTAACAGGGAAAAACACCACACGCAACAGTTTGTGACACAAACAATTTGTAGCACTAATAATTGTACATTTATAAAATTTCACCGCCGAACTGCATGCTGGGTAGAGCTCGCTAACAACAGTCTGCCAACAGCTGGGAGAGGCTCTGTCGCTCCAGTAACGTTACATTAAAGAACAGAAAAGAGCGATGCAGGATGAACAAAGACTGAACAACAAAATGTATTTTAGTTAGACACATATGCAACGCTGATTACCATGTAATATGTGTGGTATTTATTATAAATGTACGTTGGTACATAGAGGGTGATAAGAAGCTGTACTTGGAGGGGCTTAGGACCCAGGGGAATGTAGGTGAAGGAAACAGGAAGTGACGGAACAGAAGCCACGCCACACAAACAGCTGTTCGCCGCTGGCCGGTTGACCGGCCGGTTCTTTTCGGCGTTAATTAATTAATGCTTTTGCGCGGAAAAAAAAATACCGTGATATACCGTGAAACCGCCAGAATCTTACATAATACCGTGATATGCATTTTTGGTCATACCGCTCAGCCCTAGCATCCATACTGTGAGATGATATTCAAACCTTTTTGAAAAAGTGTTAAAATTGTCACAAATTTGCAGCGCTGCCTGTATGAATAGTTTTGACGAGAAAGGACCTGAACTTAACCAAGTTCTCCATCAACGGGAAACGTGCACAGACACTGTGGGCAGCTGGTCCATGCAGACTGTTATCCCAAGAGCACAATGTCCGTATTCTACTGCCAAACCGCTCAATGTCAAAACGGCATTTGACCATATTTTATGAGCACATAATGTTACGTTATTACAGTATGGCATTCAACACCAGTATCTGTGAACACACTGACTTTCCACAACACTAAGCCATCCAGAAATCACCAGATCATATTTTACTTACTTGCCTGCAATGTGTATCATTTCACATTTCTATGTCGCCCCGTATCCGCTATGTTTCCCCCGCGTGGTGCAATCATTTTCACTTTGTGTGTGGTACACCCATGCTGCTCCCTCTAACCAGGGAGCCAGGAGTCGCTAAACCAAAAGGACAAAAGCAATTGCAACCAACAGTCTTTTGTCTGTCTTTGTCACGCTGCACACTTCCCTCAAAAATACCATGTTTCAAGTGTCATTTTCCACAAATGAAAATGACACATGCATTTTAAAAGTCTGGGAAAAAAAAAAAAAGAGTATATTCACAGAAAGTGACATGAAAGTAGTTGAACCAGTTTGATTGTGTTTTCCCTCCACATTAAAGTCACTATGTGTCATAATAGGGCAGCGGATGTAAATGTGTGCATCTCGTAGGAGAACACAGACGCTCGTCTGTAGCTAAATGAACAGCTCTGTCAATAATTGATCACCTTAAATCTGTTTTCAGCCTCACATATGCATCCCTTAATAAATAAATAAAACAGACAACATGTAGACATGGTAAGTACACGGTAAATAACCCACAGAATAAAAACTGGAATACCTTTAAGAATATTTTGGACTAGAATATAGTGCACTGGTAGTGAAAGCCACGTCTGTAGGCCTAACAGATAACAACCTTTCAGGTATTACACTATTGCTGGAATATCTCACTCAGATATGATCTGCACGGCGTTAAAAGCCCCTCCGAGCACTTCATACACCAAACACAATTGGTTCGGTTTTTTTATCCGCCTGTCCTACATTTATTGTGTGTCAAACAATTTAGTGAACTGCCCAAGGCTTTGACTTTTTGAAGTTGCTCTTAATACCGTTTAATATCAACTAATGATATAGGTCAAGACAAATTTTTTCATCGGTGCAAAACATTCTTAAAAGATGCAACATATGGGTCTGTTTCCTGTAGGAACCTAATTTGATAAAGTAATTTAGTTTCAATCATGTAAAATGATTCAACCAGTCTGTACTTTTGTACAGTTATGAATTGTAGCTGTGGTCCTTTACTTTAGCGCACTTACTCATAACTACCAGTTACCCTACTTGAAAGTACAACTGGTTGAATCTTAAACAGTGATGTAAATTTACAGGGTTGTTTTTGTTTCGTTATGTAAAATATTAAAGTGGTACTCGGGTCATTTAGTTGTTCCCTTTAATTAAGTTGGAGGGCTTGTGAGAGTTTTTTTCTTTTTCAAATCTTCAAAATTGCTGCAACACAGCCCAATATATGCTAACTTTTAGCCCCTAGTATAAGCCACACCCTCAAAACCCTGCATCCTACATTTCCCATCGTGCAACTTGATAGCATCTTCATTACACCCTGCTTGCCACATACACACCTACATCTTTCAAACTCTACACAGCCCGGTCGGAACGCAGTCTTCCCCTTTTAAGATTTGAAGTAACCCTGATGACATCACTATGACATCGGTTTTTATAAAACTTGAAAAAGCTCCCTCCGGAGCCACAAAGAACACTATGTTCAACTGTTTTCACAGATGGAATAGTACTGGTCATGACCAGTTAATTAAACTGTATGTGTACAATCAGTGGACTGGACCTTTAATGTGAAGAGTAGCCCGAAACTACAGCCGTCCGTTGAATGTAGTGTGGTAAAACAGTGGTGGGCCGGCAGGGCCTGCAAGGCCTTCTCTGCTGGCCTAAACAGAATCACAAAGCTATATCTATTTTATAATTTAATAATTTTTCTTAAATACACTACATGCATTATAATTTATAAACATATTTTTCCCATTATCTTATTTTCTCATTGCACAGCTACTGTCTTCCTCAGTTGCTCTGCTTCCAGTGCAGCTTGTTTTAAGTAGAGCTTTTATCCAATCAGATTTCACCTCTGTGTCTCTGGGTAAGAACAGAGGCAGAGGCCTGCACACTCTCACCTGCAGCCAGTGCAGATTAAAGTAAATGGGGACGATATTGTCATAGTGTTCAACCAATCAGATCTTTAGTTTGACATGTTGGGCGTATTCTTTGACGTATCAGAGCCTGCACGCCGGCCTATAATGACGTCAGCATTACATGCCGCTCAGTGTCCATGTGTAGCTTTGCCGTGAGGTGCAGAGTGTGCTGTGATTGGTCAGTGGGCGAGCACGTGACTATCGTGAAACGAAACTTAACAGCCAGCAGAGGCTGATGGGTAGTGAATCACATCACGTGATGCAGCTCAGCCAAACAAATATGGGCATTCTGACTGAGTGAGATGCACCATGACATAGGAGACTGAGACGAGGAAAGACACTGCAGAGCAGTACGTTCAATGTTCAAGTTGTGAAAGTAAAATCCTATGATAATCTCTTTGGGTCTCGGCTTGTCATTAAGGAATGACAGTGGAACCCGCAGCCAGACCAGCTGAGAACATTATATTTTCCTGAATTTAGGCTTTTGCATTTTCTAAATGCTCTAGCATTATTCAAACGACTAGTACCGAACGGTTTAATACGAAGATGTACATAGTTACAGCCTTAAAAATGAATAATAGCTGTGGCGCCATCATGTGGTTATAAGGTGGTATTTCAGCTGCAGGACAACAGTGAAGGCCCAGGTATAAAATGCACGGCCCGCCACTGGGTAAACAGTACCATATTCCCCCACAGACGCAGAGAATGTAAATACTCAAGAACAACATCGCACTCAAATACAGTACTTGAGTTAATGTACATAGCTACTGACTGTCGTGTGTATTTGTCTGAGCAGGTGTGACGGTGTGTTGGCGTCCTACTTGTGCGATGCGTGGCTTGTAGGGCGAGCTGCTCTCCAGGTCGGCCAGGATGCTGGTGAGGGAGTCGATCTCAGCATCCAGACTGGAGCGCCTCTCCTGCAGGGTCTTCTCTGGTCCTCTCATCTGTGAGCAAACAGTGAGCGAAATGACCAACTATGTCACTGTGCGTGGTTGGGATCACAAGATAATCATCAATGAGGAGTAATTCCACTGACTCGGAGACATTCTCTTGTGGATTACAGTCTAGAGTTCACGCTTCACCTTGACCTGGCACAAGCCTTTGGAAAGCCACACATCAATGGCAGAGACTTCTCTCTGGGAGAAATGCAACGCATTGTCTGTTCATAAAGCAGAGCACTATTCACCTCCTGCTTTTCAGCACACTTGGATTTACAGTATTTCATTCTTCATGCATTATTCATCACAATCTCATCCAGCAGTATTTCAAACAAAAAGGTCAATTTCTTATTTTATTTTTTCAAGAATTAAAGTCAGATATTTTTCTATTCCATATTTTAAACATGTGCCCTGTAAAAGATGATGAGAAATGCTTTGATTTTTATTTGACTGGTTTATTACCAGATGAAGCTTGAAAGCGTCAGAAACAGGATCACTCCAGCAGTCTGAGACCTCGCTGATTTATTCATACAGTTTCACCGCAGAGCAAACACAACTTCAACATATTACAAAAAAAAAAAAAAAAAGACAAAATATAATAAAAAATGTTGCACAAAAATCTGCAGCTAAGTATCTAAAATGATCTGACCGTTAGTGACACCCGGTTTTCTACAAAAATTCCCGGGAATTTCTCCACGGAATGACAGATATATTTTTAGTCCTCTGAACTATGCTGCAACTGCAAGAAGACTTCTTGCAATTGCCTGCGGGGGCTTTTTGAGTTGGCTGGATCAGTGACTGCTTCTTATTCTAATGTTATGTGTTTGGATTACCTGTCACAATCTATTACAGGCAGGGCTTGCCTCCATTTGGAGCAGAGCTGTTGCTGCTTAAAAAGCATCTAAGGCTATCATGAGCAGGGAGGGGGGGAGGGGGTAAACAAAGCAAAACACTAATGGCTTGTCTCAAATCAACAAAAGGAGGAATAAGAGGAAAGAACATATTTAACGGGGAATAACGAGAGGGATGAAAGGAAACATGGCGGTCTTTGTGATGTGTTGGAATTCGCCGTGGAGGGCTTCATAATGTGGACAACAGCCTCGATGAGAACTAGCTGCTTCTGTCTCCCTCTCCTCCTGCTGAAGGATTCAGCATCAGCTCGTCACAATCCAGACCTCTGTCCCGGTCAGGGCGATAAAGAAATAGTTCTCCTTTCTTCTGAGGAAATACCATTTAAACGTATTCCTTCAGTGTGTGAGATTTGTCTGCCGGGGCACGGAGAGGAAGATACAAAGACATTTTGATTGATATCTATCCCCCTTTTTCCCTCTGCAGTTAAAAGACTTCTGCTCTGGCTACAGGGCACGTAATTAAGATACCAGTGGCGTATTAAGGAATTCAGTTGCATGGCCAGCCGATGTGACAGGAGAAGAAAAGTCAGAGATGAAAAACACTAAAGCACTTTTAAAACTAATTAAGCACTTCATTTCTTTTTACGTCTACTGCCGGTGCTGTTCAGAAAGAGATGGCAGATACAGCAGTGGTAAAAAGGGAACGACACGATTATCTCTTATTATCATGTCTACTTCATCACTGCTGTGCTGTGAACACACAAATGTAAACTTTTCAGAAAAACAGCCTCAATTTCATCATCCAACAGGTTTTTTAATTGATTTTTTTTTTTTTGGCTTCTTCTTCCCTGCTTCCAACGAGAGTGACATGAGACAAAATCCTCCCTTGTTTTGTGCAAAAATGAATTCCAAAGTTCAGCTGAAGCTCATGTGAGGCTTCAGCGGTCTGATGGACATCTTCACACATGGTGTTAGTGGTTCCCCGGATTATTGTGGTGCTGAACGACAGTAGAGGGGTGGTAGAAGTTTGTGCTAAAATAGAGCAACTTTGGAAGATATTCACTAGATTTGACTAACTCAGCGCATATATATTTGCTCACAGGTGTGGATTTTGTCGGCCATCACTTACATTGAAATGGGTGTTGGAATGATGAGAGTGAACAGCAAGTTAGACCTGTGTCAGTGAACATATGGGCACCTGACCGTTGTTAAACCTGAATCAAATTATTCACATTAAAGATCATTATGTGCACTTGTACTGGTCCTGGAATTAATCCAAGTAAACATGGACAGTACTTTAAAAGCTATTTTAATCCCTAGGAGATGCAGTGCAATAAAACATGCACTAAAGTCCCATTTCTTTTTCTTTGAAAGTATCTGACAGCGGTGAGTAGCCAGGTTAAATATGAAATACTGATAGTTGCTATTAAGGGACAAATATCAGACGGACCTCTTTAAATGGGTCACGGGCCAGATGCTGAATTCTGTTGTTATAATACCGGCAATATACAGCACAATGTTATACTTTAAGAACTCTGACTGTGATTACACACTTAAGAGAGGATGTGTAGTATACATGTCCCACACAGTTAGGTATACATATGTGAGTTTAGGCAACAGATGTGGTATGAGAGAAGTGACACTGGCAGGGCTTTAGTATAAACATTGGCCTTGATTTTTTTTTTTTTTACTAAAAATTATCTGTGGCTTCATAAAATATCCAATGGCAGAAAGGATTTTTGGAGTCAAATTTTGCACAGATTTCTAATATGTACAATTTTATTGATGGCTTATTTAATTTCTAACTGCTCAGCCGATCCTAAATGTGTTAAGTGAAAGCAGGGAATTCATAATGTAACTGTCGTTGGGCTGCACCTTTTAAAATAATTGCATACCTATGAGCGGTATTATACATTGAGGCCATAACACCGCATGAAGACACATAGTGCTAATCCCCAGTCTACAGGTATGTATACAGTTTGTGTGGGAAAAGCAGTCACATTTGCATAACTTATTTAAATCCACTCTGTCTCTACACAGGAAGCATTCGTAGGATAAGAAACATGGTCGGATCAAGAAAAGAGGGGGCTTGAGGGGGGGGTGGGGGGGCTGAACAAAGGAATGTGAAGCACTTGGAGGGTTTTCGCAGCATGGGTCAAGTGCTGAGCGTGTCGGTCAGATCGCAGGGGCCAGATATCCCCGGGGAGGGAACAAACGCCTGTGGGTATTATAACCAGGCTCCACCAATAGGTGTCAGCCTTCTATGCTTCCTGCACTGAAGAAAGCCAGCTTGTGTGTGGGTCCTTCAGTCAGGACAGCCAGCTCCAGGCAGCATCTGGAGCTGGACGTCTCTGCAGTTGGCTGCTGCTCAAATGGACAGGCAGGCAGTAGTTGTTTTTTTGCTGTACTGAGTGCAGAGCTCGGGGCCGTCTTTTGCTTTCCGTGACGACTCTTCGAGAGTTCCTGACAACCGAGATGAAATTGAATGCAATAACACATCCCCCCCCCCCCCCCACCTGATAATCGCAGGAGTTCATCGGTGGAGGAGACGGGAAGGAACCAGGGGGTGGTGAGAAACCGGTTGACTCTTCGGCAGGTGGCGGAGGGGGGGGGGTAGTCCGCTGGGATGGATGGGGACACACACACACACACACACACACACACACACACACACACACACACAC